TGTGGGGTTTTTATTTGGGGGGGAAGGGGCTGGAAAGGGTTCGACCTCAAATAACAGGAATGGTAGGAAGAGACATGTTTCTGGTGGGATGGAAAGAGCTCGGTACCTTTTGCCTCTTGGAGACTCTTTATATGTACCTCTCAAAGACTGCCTTTCCTGTTTCCAAAGCATAAGTATTCCCGAGCCATGAGTGCCCTCGAGCAAATGAGGAAGAAGCCTGGATCCGTCCAAGCGGCGGTGAAGAACAAGCCCCCCTCCGTCCTTCACATTGTATAGCGGAGCCAGAGTGAGTCGTGTCTCTCATTTCTTACGAACTCAACAGACCTCTTCACGGTGCGAGCCCAAAATATGTTTATATTCAACATGGATGGATGGCATAATAAAAGTCTGGGATTCTTAAGTATGAGTCACAAAATCCTCTGGTGCAAAGCTTGTTTTGTCCAACGCCATTCACAAAGATGGTTGCCTGGTTAGGTAATACCTCGGTTACTGGAAAGGAAGATTCAGGGCCGTAGAGTTGGACTGAAAATAGCGTTTGCACATATCTTTGAGATTAAGAGGACAGGAACTCGGGCAGACTGCTTCACTCACACCTGCTTCACGAAAGACAAGGAGCCTGCAAAGTTTGCTGTGATATTTCAGTGTTTTCGGGGGTCAAGGGAGATGCCATGAATCTCTGGTGACTACCCTAGCCATCATCCCAAGCATCCCCAGCCGTGGCCACTCCGGCATCACTCTGAGAAGAGCATTACGTCTGCTTCTCGGACGGCCATTCAAGGGTGAGGAAAGTCTTCAGATTTCATCCCAGATCATTAAAGGCACTATATCCAGGAACGGAGTCTCTGTGATCTGTGATCTGGCTAACAGTTTTTTAAGAGCGAGGAGAGGTGTAGTTTCCCACACTGCTTTCCTTCCAAGCAGTCCCCTGCAGCCAGATCTCCCCCTCTTGCACACAGATTCTGCTTCCTCCTTTTTGTTTCCATGGTTTACTGTCAGCTCAGAGAAAAGCTCCTGGGTAACATTTTGGCTGCTCTACAGGAGGAAAGCCCTCAGATAAAGGTGGTCAGGTTACTTTTGGACTGTGGCCTTTATGTCACATACTCAGATAAACTGTTCGCAAAAGCGGCCAGAAATATTCGAGCTAATTTCCTGAAAGCCATTGCGATCAATTGTGCGGGGGACTCCCAGATCTGAAGGGTCTCTTATTATTTTATATGTCTGTGATTTTATCATGATTTCATTTGATCATATTTGTATTTTAAACCATTGTGACGGCTTTTAGCTAATACAATAAACTTGAACTTGGATAGCTGCACGGGGGCCTGGGCGGCCTGGGTCTCCATTGGAAGGCAGGGGGGTGAACAGCACGAGCCACAACCAGGAACTGTTGATACGGTTGGCCTCCTCCCCCCCCCCGTGTGTCTTAGAAATTCTTTTTTATTTTTTTAATTATTAATGCAGAAAATACAAATATATTTATATAAAAGCAAGAGAAAAATGCACACAAATCAATAACCTCGAGAGACATCATACAATTCATGTGAATTGCACCCCCTCCACCGCCCGGTATCTAGTCAACGTTTTTAACTTCATACTTTATGTCCTGTTTCTCTCCAGGAGGAGAGCGAATCTTGCCCTTTAGTATTTCCCTTTCCTTTCCCAAACACAGGTTCTAAAACTATGTTCCGGAGATCTTTAAAATAATTTCCTTTTCGATATTCCTCTCCCCGCTTTCAATTCGCATGTTGATTGATCATGAAGAGTCCGGATCATGCCAGATGGGGCCTCCTGTAATTCCTCACCCTTCTCTAAGCTGCTGAGGGTCAAGAACATCTGTCCAGCCTCTCTCTGCACGAAAGAATTCCTGATACAAGAAGATGCTGGCCGCATTAAAAACATTTCTGGCCCCACTCCCCAGGAATAGTTTTGCAATGGCTTGAGCACAAGGGTGCTCATTTATTTCAGGGGAAATCAGTACAGAAGTGGTGGGATTGGGGACAGCGCACGCTGACAACCGTGTCCTGAAAAGCCGTTTTGCAGGTGACTCCTTCTGCCGTCACATCTTCTATGCCTGTATTCCCGGATCAGAATCGTTCCAGTGGTTGCTATTGTGGGGGAAAGGATACGTTCTGAGGGCAGCTGGATCGGAGCCGCACCGTTTTGCCCAGCACCACCCCAGAGATGCAAAATGTCCGGAAATGTTCTTTCTCTAGTGCCACATCCATGCTGGTAAGGATGGTACGGTAATGCCAGTATTCCTCGGGAAGCCGCCCTCTCCGGAGGACGGCTCGAACGTGTCCTCGTCGAGGTTCCCGATCCAGAGGCGCTCTAGTCGCCGTGCTGGCCATAATCCTCCACGACCGAACGAAGCGTCTCGAAGGCCTGCTCAAAATCACCTTCCTCACAGCCGTGCCTCCAGTACCAGTGGAGGAAGGCGTTGCTCTGGTACATGGCTTGCGCCCGCTGCTCCACCCTCTGCAGGAAGTCCACGGAGCTGCTATGGTTGGCACAGACGGTCAACGTGTGACTGGGGCCCCCTGGATTTGCAAGGCTGGCGGCATCTGCAGGAAGAGCAAAGCACGGATTTAGGGCCTTCTTCACAGCAACCCTTTTACTTTCCCAACAGCAGCAAAGCCACCGGGCCGCCTGCGAGTGAGCGCAGAGCCCAAGTGCACCAGCCCTCCGGCGGTTAACTGGACTATAACTCCCATAAGCCCTCACCAACAAAGCCAGTGTGAGGAATTCTGGGAGTGGCCATCCCCCAGTAGGCAGAGGGGTCCCCTTGACCCCCCCATCCTTGCGCTAAGCATCTGTCTGCCAAATTTCCGTATCCTTTGTAACCACGAGGACTGCAAGCTTAATTTTATCCATCAAGAGGGGCCTGTCAGAATTCTAGCAAGCAGGCCGTCTGTCCAAAAAACAAAACAAAGCCTTGGAGGAATCCCGTAAGCATCCGGTTGACTTGCACTTGAGCAAGAATGAGACAGATCTTTCCTCTCTCAGTGGAACACGGTCCTCTGTCAAGAAAGAGCGGATTGTGGCAGCGTGATGGAAATCCGCTCCTGTTCTTTTGTTGAGCCCAGTGAAAACAGATCCTCTTACAGGTATTCTTGTCCTCAGTCAGGTTTTTGAGTATGCACCTGTCCTCTTACTCTGGATTTATTACTGAGACCTCCCCTGTTTGCTTTTTACAGGCAGGCAGACTAGCTCACAACAGTTTCAGCATTTGTGATCTGTTTTTACTTTGCAATCATCACTGGCTATCCTTGCAAAAAAACAACAACAGACCAATTAAAAAAGAAAACGTTTTTCAAGTGTATAGCTGTTTGTTACTACGGTCGTTGTTCTAGGTCGTTCCTTTCCCAGGGACTATATGAGGCAAATGTTTATAGAGAAGTTACTCTTTTTGGCTGGTTCTGCGAGTGGAACCGATTATTTGTCTCACTCAGTGGTCGTGACGCGAGGGGCTTTTCCAAATGGATGCTATTTCCAAAGCAGTACTGATTTTCTTGGTGTCCCTTCTGCCGAAATTCAGCTGCCTCATGGCTTGCCTCTGGGACTCCTTCTGAGAGAGGTGAACCCCCTATGAAAATAAAAGCCAAGTCCACAAGGCAGCCGTACCAGATTTTGTGAACCTAATGGCCAGAAGCATCGTTTCCTAGACTGGAACAGAAAAAAATGAACAGAGTCCTATAATGGAACTTCGTCCAGAATTTTACATTCATACCTTGCAGGTAACTAGAGGTCAGGGAGGTTGATAGGACTGGAAAAAATGTTGAAGAGAGTCGACAGGATGCTGAGAACTTATGGGCAAACATACATCACAAATAAAAGACCGAAGAAACAAGGTGTGTTCAACATAGGAAAAAAGAATGTAAGGAGAGACGGGTGGGCATATTTCAGATTTTTTAAAAAATGATGCCAAAAATGGAGAGAGGGAACAATAACAATTCCGAACTTTGTACACTGAACAGAATAAAAAGTTGTCAGCCCAACCACAGGGAACCGCACAGACTCAGCTTAAAAGGGGGTGTTTCTTAGCCAGTATCCCTCGGATTCATGATAGGTTAGCTAAGAAAGGGCAGAAATCTGCCCGGAATTGTTAGGATCATGCACAGCCTGTCTTGGGGCAGGATTTTGGAGAAGGCCCGATTCTTTAGAGAGATAAATCTGGGTTTGCAGGACTGACCTGTCCAGTAAGTGGCAGGAAACGGGTTCCACGACACACAGCGGTAGGCCTGCTTGAGCTTCTTCAAAACCAAACCATGGTTCAAGAGAAAGGCGTCCTCCTGGGGTCCACGGGCCACAGCCAGCAGAGCAGTGCTGCGATGCTGTCCGAGAGTCAGCTAAGCATGGAGGCACAAAGAAAAGGGGGGTCCTTCTTTCTCCCACTTCCCTCTCCCTGACACACAGCGCACCCCTGGAAGCAATGGTACTGTATTCTCCGAGAAGGGCGCTCATGGGTCCAACACACCCGAATCCTTGCACTCGCCAGAGCTGGACCAAGGGATTCCATGGGGTCCCTTCCACTTCTGCAAGCCTATGATGATAGGGCCAGGACAATCTGTTCTGGATTTTTGGGAGTTTTAGCAAATGGGTCAGCCAGGAACTGAGATGGCGGCTTTGCCTTCCCCAGCTGTCTTACAATCCTACTGTCTCATCTCTCTGCCCTGATCTCGAGGTTGTTTCCTGTTCTTGTGTATTTGCTATCAGTATATTTATTTATAGTAGGAACCCCCCCCAATCCATGGGGGATCAGTTCCAGTCCCCACCCGTGGATGCTGAAAAATGCGGATTAGAGCAAACGCTATACAGTGGTGCCTCGCTTAGCGATTGCCTCGTTTAACGATGTATTCACTTAGCGATGAGGTTTTTGGAGCAATTTTGCGCTCCATTTAGCGATGTTCCCTATGGGGAAATTTCGCATAGCGATGTTCGGGACCTTGCCTCACTTAGCGATGACAGTTTAGGTCCCCCGTTTCGCTTAGCAATGTCCATTTTCGCTATTTTAAGTGTGTCTTAAAATGGTCAAAAACTGTTTTAAATGCTTGGGATGGTTAGTGCACCTTGTGAAACCTTTGCAAACTTAATTTGGCTTTGTTCAGACTCTTCGTTAATTTTTGGCGAATTCCCCCCCCCATTGGAATGCATTGCACTGTAGGTTTGACAGCTAGAAACAAAAGACACAGGTATTTATTGCCGCTAAAGGATACAGGATTTCCAGCGGGAGACTCCCGAGGGAGGAGCTGTGCCACGGAGGATGCCAGGCTGTCCCAAAACACCGTCCCCCTGGGGAAAGGAAAGTCGGCACCCATGACTTCGAAAGGAAACCTGTCCAGTGGGCTTCCTTCTGCCCCGGCATTCCTTGCCCCCTCCAGCAAAATGTCCTTTTGTAGCCACCAGGAGCGGTTTGCCGGGAGCCCAAACACTGACTAAAGCCAGCTCAGTTGTTTTGCAAAGCACCCAGCCGCCCTCTGCAGGAACCTTTCCTCCGCCGCACTCACCTTGCGCCACCTTGAGCTGCGTGAAGGAGTTTGAGGTTCGGCAGGGGGCAGACGGATCGCAGCAGCTCCCAGGGCTCCATCCCCAGGCTGATCCCACTGCAACAAGAAGGGCGGAAGGGTTGGCTGCAAGCCTCGGCCACGGAGGATGTTCTCACCACCAGCCAGGCTGTCCTCTTCCACCCTGTGTGAGTGACCGATGCTCAAGAGGCTCACAAGGGCTCCTCCCGAGCTTTTCATTAGGCAGGGTCGGGGGGGGAGGGCTTTGCTCCACGGGGCTAGAATTTAGAGGAAGCCAAAAGCGGCCAATGGAAGGCTTCCAGCTCGCCTTCTCCCTAACAGGATAGTTTTCTATGAGCAAGGATTTAAGAGTTCTGATTCCAGAAGAGGACCAAAAAAAATATCTTTCTTCCATTTAAAGTGGGTGTAACTCAGACATGTGTGTATAAACATGACAAGAAGAAGTCACTGAAGATTCGCTCGGGAGGCTGTTCACCCCTACCCCACCCCGATGAAACAGCCGTCTCGGGCTTACCTTGGTGTTGTGAAAATCTTGAGTGGATAGAGAAGCCCAGCAAGACAGGAGGCCATATAGGCGTTCATGGCTGAGAAAGAGAGCCGGCCTGAGGTTTCGGGTGCGCCCTTCCCCGGCAGGGCGACAGTGGCGGCTCGTTTCAAGACCTCATCATTCTGGAACAGAAGAATGCCGTCTGCGTACCTGGAAAGGAGGCAAAGCAGAGCAGGTAAAAATCGCTGTTTGAAAGAGAGCTCCAAAACATTTTGAAAAGTCAGTTACAAAACCAGTCTTGAAGCCCCCAGGGTCTTTTGGAAGAGTTACAGTTTCGGCTGCTGGTTACAAACTCTGTAGGGATGGGGCTGGTCTGATTTTCATATCATAGAATCATAATCCTAGAATCATCGTAGGGTCGGAAGGGGACCTTGAACGTCTTCTAGTCCAACCCCCTAGGGCCCGAGGTAGGAGACCTCATAACATCCCAGACAGATGGCTGGTCCCATATTTTCTTGAGAACCTCCAGCGATGGGGCACCCACCACATCTGGAGGCCAGCTGTTCCACTGCTTAACGGTTCTCACCGTCAGGAAATTCCTCCTTGTTTCCAGGTTGGATCTCCCTCTGACGAGTTTCCACCGATGGGTTCTTGTCCTGCTCTCAGGCACCATGGAGAATCCATCGTTGCCCTCTTCCCTGGGGCAACCCTTCAGAACCTGGAAGACGGGGATTACATCTCCCCTCTGTCTTCTCTTTATTAAGCTAAGCAGACCTTGTTCTTCATAGGATTTCACCTCCAGTCCCCTTATCATTTTGGTTGCTTTTCTCGGCACCCCTTTCCTTGGGAAGGAGGATCCCACAGCTCAGGGGCTGCTACGGAGAAGGCCCTGCCTTGTGCCCTCACCCTCCTAGGGCACTGGAACATGCAATGGGATTTTGGCCGAGGGTCTCAGATTCCAGGCAAACAAATAGAGATGGAGGGCGTCTTTCAGACACCCCCTGCGTCCGAGGGGTTTGGAAGCCGAGACTTACACCTTGAACTGAACTTCCAAGCTAGCTGGAAGTGCAGGTGAGACAAGCGTCTGCTCTCTCTCTCTCTCTCTGGCACCAGCTATAGCTTCAGAATGCTCTTCAAGGGCAGCCCCACATGGGACCTAATGCAGCAGTCTAATCAAAGAACCATTAAGGCAGGATTAGATTTATTTCACACTTAGTGCTCATTATCTGTTGGTTGTCCCTACAGGAAGTTAGTGTATGGAAACCAACACACACACGCATGTCAAAACCCAGTAAGGGGATAAAACATGAGATAAGTCAAGGTATGGGGAAAAAAAGAGACAGAAATGGAAAAGTTATTCTGAAGCCTTATCAGACCACTGATAAGAGAGGGAAGTTTCTCTAAACTATGCTAACCTCTGGATAGGGTGCAGGATGCGTGGAGGGCTATGGAGCACCCTCTCCAGAAGGAACACACATGGCAGGGGAGCGGGAATAAAACTCACATGGAATATGTTCACTGTGCTGAATTTGTCCCACCAGGCTTGGGCGAACGAGGACGTTTCCCTCTTTATTTACCTCTGAAGCCAGGAAAGGCCGAGCAAAGTGTTGTAGTGCTGGAGCGGACTCTCGCCACTTTGGTGAGGGGCCACGGAGATGGACAAGATCCAGCCAAGCGGGTACTCCTCCCGGATGGCTTCGCACAACCGGGAACTCAAGCCTAGAGAGAGAAACATCCCACAGACACCCAATGTGATTCTTGCACACTTTCAGCAGCGGCTGGAGGTGGCGGGGAGAGGCTTGGCGATGAGAAACGCCCCTTCGGGATCAGTTGAGCTACAAAACTCAACGGGTCTGCCCTTTCTGTCTCTTAGGCCCTGGAGAAATCCCACCCACCCCGCTCCCTTTTGGACTTCAAGGATGGCTGGGGGGGGGGAATTCTGGGAGTCATTTATAAAGGAACTTGGCCAAGCCCAGGTGGTTCTCTTGAGAGATGTCAAGGCCAGTTTAAAGGCCACTTGCACAAGCAAAGGGGGAAAAATTCAATCCAAACCACCCCCTCCCAAAAGGCGTTGCCCTTCCAGAATGGCTGGTGGTTTAGTAGGAGTTCTGGACAGCAGGAGAGAAGGAAGGAGCCCCAAAAGATCACCGTTCTATGCAAGTTTTGATGTCTTGAAGCAGAGCCTGGTGGAAGGTGATGATGCAAGGAGAAACAAATGGCTGAGGTCTGAGAACAGCTGTCCCGCCCAGCACCAGGGCTGATGTGCTAGACAGTTGTACCTTTGCTCCCCAGGCTTAGGGCACCACCTCGTGGCGAGACAACAATCTGTAGAGACCTGGTGATGCCTATATTACAAACATGGTCCGGACACATTTGATCAGTTATGATTCCCTGGGATCTGCAGTCATCACATGGGCTCCAGCTATAGGAAACCAGGTGTAGGCTGAATATCGGGAAAAACTTCTTGACTGTTAGAGCAGTATGATCATGGAACCCGTGACTTCGGGGAAGGTGGTGAGCGCCCTAACGCTGGAGACGTTCAAGAGAAAATGGGAGGGTTTAGTAGGAGTTCTGGACAGCAGGAGAGAAGGAAGGAGCCCCAAAAGATAACCGTTCTTTGCAAGTTTTAATGTCTTGAAGAAGAGCCTGGTGGAAGGTGATGATGCAAGAAGAAACAAATGGCTGAGGTCTGAGAACAGCTGTCCCGCCCAGCACCAGGGCTGATGTGCTAGACAGTTGTACCTTTGCTCCCCAGGCTTAGGGCACCACCTCGTGGCGAGACAACAATCTGTAGAGACCTGGTGATGCCTATATTACAAACATGGTCCGGACACATTTGATCAGTTATGATTCCCTGGGATCTGCAGTCATCACATGGGCTCCAGCTATAGGAAACCAGGTGTAGGCTGAATATCGGGAAAAACTTCTTGACTGTTAGAGCAGTATGATTATGGAACCCGTGACTTTGGGGGAGGTGGTGAGCGCCCTAACACTGGAGACGTTCAAGAGAAAACGGGAGATGTCAAATCTGCTTTGATTTGGAATTCCTGCCTTGAGCCGGAGGTTGGACTCGATGGCCTTAAGAGGTCCCCTTCCAACTCAGTTATTTTATAATTCTATGAAAGGAGATGAGGATCTCAGAGATCCCCGGGGTGTGATTGTTGTCTCTTTCTCTCTAGGACTCTCTTGCTTCCAACCGCTCCGACGGTGCCTGTCCCCTTTGAATCGCTTTTCGCCTGGTGCCCGAGTTTAGCACTAGCCTGACGGAGCTCAGAAAGGAGTCACTTCAGCGCTAAAGTCACTGGCTGCCATGCGGTTGCTTCATGTAGTAAATCGCACGTGAGTAGGTCCCTTGAAGTAGTGGGGCTTTGGTTAAGTCAACTTCTCTGTGCATTCCACTGATTGAATGCAACTACTCTAGTGGCAATTTGCTAAACTAAGCAACAGAATTTCAGCCACTGCAAACATTTCTTTTTTGAAGAGGACTAGGTGTCTACCTGGCAGAAAGAATTATTATAACAGTTACTCTGAAAACTTTTGGTTTGGAACGAGCTTGGCATGGTAGAAGGAGGGGAAAAAAGATGGAAATCAGGGCAGAGAAATCGGCAGAAAGGGACAAGAAGGAAGGGAGAGACGGGGTGCCAGATGAAGGTTTTGTTGTTTGCAAGCTCTCAGAGGAAAAGGACACCAGAACGAAAGACTCTGGATGTGTGAGAGCAAAGGGTGCTATTACGAAGCACACAGAAGCAGTACAGGGCGCTTCACACAACAGGCTTCAAATCGCCCAGCCCGGACAACCGCCAGACATGTGCGATTAGAAACGACAGGAGGACCCCCATGTCCACAGGTTCCAAGCCCCCCGTGGATGCTGAAAAACACAGGTGATAGCAAATGCTATTTTAATAGAGACCCTTATACATAGCATGGTCTCTGACACCGTCTTGTGGCCGGTTGTGGTAGCTCCACCTTTAGAAATATGTATTTCTAGGATTTTTCTTTTAAATTTTTCAGGCTGTGGATAAGTGAATCCGCGGATATTGGTCCCACGGGTCAGGGGGCCCTACTGTATTGAGAATCTGTCTCCGAGTGACATGAATGTCTGGGTCAGTGGGCAGGCCAATTTGCTCATCCATTCTCTGGGGACATCCGCTCGGAAGGTGGCCTGCCAGAGAGAGAGAGGGGTGTGTGTGCACTTTTGGTGAAGAAATGTCACACAAGGGAAGTACTGTATCGTTTCTCACCAGCTCCTGTGCCCCCACTCAGGCTGTGGAAAAGCACCGTCCCACAGTAGCAATCCTTCCGTTCCGCCTCCTTGCGCAAGCTCTCCATCGTCCGGGCGAACACGCTCTGCTCGCTCTCTGAACGGACGCCATGATAACCTATGATCCATTACACAAATGTAGGTTTTGCATCAGATCATGTTGTAGACACATCCAGAGCTTGAAAATGTTCCCTTTGCCGGGAAACTAGAATTCCCAGGATCCGTGAGCCGGTGTAGCCAGATCCTGGGAATCTTGAGTTGGAAAAAAATCATAATGGCCATCTCTGGACAAACCCAGCTTGATCAGTCGGAATCCTACTCGTGATGGAATTTCTAAATGAAAGATCTCCTCAAACACCAAGAGAGCCACAATGGCAGGAATCTAACGAGCTTTGATTATTCATTTATTTTATTTAATCTTACAAAAGGGGAGGCTCATGCAGTGGAAGGAAAACAAGTCTCTGGTATAATCATTATGCTAGAACTGCCGAGCTGGAAGGGACCCTACGGATCATCACGTCCTGCCCCTGCCAAGGAGGCCGAGTGTGGGAATCGAACTCCCAGACCTCTGTTTCTGCAGCCAGGGACCTCCTAAACCACAGAGCTCTCCCGCAGTTCTAACGGATCACCCTTTCTCAGAACTCCCAGCATAGCGGTCACCGTCCTGTTTTCCCGGGAGGGTCAGATCTAGCCTCATGAACTCGGGGGACTCTTACCGTAAGCCCAGTTGTTTCCTCTCCCTTCCTTCCCCACGATGAGGTTCGACTCTCTGAATAGTCTTGAGAGGAGCAACAAAGAGGAAAAAGGAAAAGCGGAGGGTGGGGGAGAAAAGAGGAAAAAATATGATTAATTCAGCAGAGAGGCCATTCAGAGCTCTGTACATATTGTGGGGGGGGGGACAGAGAAGTACTGTATTCAGAGTTTGGACCACAAAAACGATGTTTGGTTGCAAAAGCTACACAAACGGAACTGGGAGTTTGACTACACAGCCGGCACCATCTGCCCCTTACTTCCTTGTCCTTGACTTCTGTAGCCTCCTCACCACTTTGGGTTCGCTGTCTACACAGAGGACGCTCAGCTTCTGATCACGAGAGTAGAACGGGGACCTAGAAGAGGCACCGAGAAGCCGTGAGAAAAACATCACCAGCCACCTTTCCTCTCTGCACACCTTCATCCCTCATTCCCCTGCCGCCGCCCTCCCCTTGGTTGGTTTCCTTGAGGTGCTGGGGTTACGACCCTGGAGACAGAAGCCAATCGCGATGCTAAGAAAGCATGCCATGCCCCATAAGCAGGAATTTGAACCCAGGTCTCCCAAATCTCCCCCCTACATCACACACACTGGCCCAAATTCCTATTATGTAGCTCCACCTATCCAATACAAGTCACTGGCAAATTGCCACTAATTAAAGGGTCCCTCCTTTGATTTCAGGGTATGCACAAGAGGTGGGCAATGAGGTCAAACTGCACAGAGTTGGAAATCAAAGGAGGGACTTTTTAATTAGCAGCAATCTGTCAGTTGCTGCTGCTGTTGTTGTTAGTGATAAAGTCATGTCCGACTCTTTGTGACCCCATGGACCAGAGCACGCCAGGCCCTCCTGTCTTCCACTGCCTCCAGAGTTTGGTCAAATTCATGCTGGTCACTTCGATGACACTGTCCATCCATCTCGTCCTCTGTCATCCCCTTCTCTCCTCTTGCCTTCACATTTTCCCAACATTGGGGTCTTTTCCAGGGAGTCTTCTCTTCTTGTGATATGGCCAAAGTATTGGAGCCTCAGCTTCAGGATCTTTCCTCCATGTGGTTCATTTCCAGGTCCTCCTAAACCTGGTGCAAAGCATTGGTCCAAGTGAGGAGGAAGAGCCTTACGTGTCAGCTTCTCTGTTATTGCTACTGGTAACGATCCGCCACCATTCTTCTCCAATTTGGTTGCCGCACTGTCCAATCTGAAGCCAAACAGCAGACATGGTTCCTAGGGAAGCAAATAACCAGAGCATTCAGGGTGGTAGACAGAAGCGGGAAGAAATGAACGAGATGCAAAATGCAAACAGAGAACATACGGTTCCCCACCATGTGCTCCAGCACCAAAGTTACATTTGAGGACTGGCCTCAACTACAGCGTCCAAGTCAGAGGGGGATCCGAGCAACTCCGCCTGCAAAGTGTCAGGCAAATTCCTCACCGTTGGGCCTGTTCAGCCTGGAGAAAAGAAGAAAAGAAGAGGGGAGAGAGGACTTCTCCAAATGCTTGAAAGGTTGTCGTACCTCGTGCGTTTGCAATGCAAAAATGTCACTGCGTGATTTTGGTGCCATCACTCTAAGGAACGGAGAATCTGCTTAGGCTCCAATCTGTAAAATGCATCAAGAGCAAAACAGGGATTCAAGGATTGCTCCGAAGCTCACTTTGCAGGCCCACCGATGTCCCAGGCAAGAACCCGGTGGCCGTTTGCACATTCGTACTGTTTCTATTAACATGCTAACAACGCACAGAAAAGACTCCTCTGTGTTGTTGGGCGGTCCTGTGAAATGGGAGACGGGCTTCTGTATCTAACAGTCAAAGCAGAAGAGGGAATGTCAACAGATGTGACTCTCAGGACAAGCTGTGCCTCTTGAAACGTGTTAAAGACCATTTCACGCAGCCACCCCTTCTGCTCTCCTGGTTCGGTAGCTTGACATCTTCATCGGAACCGGACGGGCTTGCTTACCTTCCGTAGAGGGGAGTTTTTCCTCTTAAAACGTTTTGCTACAAGCGATGGGAAGAGCTTGCTCCGCCGCGTCTGCGTATCTCAGGGGCTGAGCAACAGACCTAAGACAACACAGCAAACACACCAATGTCTTAACATGCAGCAATTTGCGTTTTGGACTATCAACAGGTTTAAACCCCAGAGACATAAAGACCTAATATAATATCACCGGAGGTTCCTTTTAGACCACGTTTAATTCAGCTGTGCTTGACTTTTGCAATTAACAGCGCTGCGGCGTTAGAACTTTCTGTGGTTCTACCGGCACCATCTTTTAAGTCTTACGAGGAGCCACTCTGAGTCCCCATTCCTGCAGGAAACCCCAGATGTCAAATATGTAAATAAATAATAAAGGACACGGTGGGGGAAAAGTGGCTGCTTTCTTGCCATATTGATTCTTTTCCAAATAAGACCAGGTCTCTCATACTGTCACCTGGCACTCTCCTGCTCTAAAATTGGTTTGATGCCTACGAAAGCTCCCTTTTCTAGGCAGTACATGTTATGCCTCCATTGCAATACGCAACACTTAAAATATTTATTTCAAGGTATTACATGGCCAGGCTGATTCATTCTTGCGAACTCTATTTTGCTTGTGGCTTGTTAGTTATAGTGGCTGACATACGGCAGGATGAGATGGGTGGACAGAGGGGAGAGAGGAGAGCCCTTTTTCAAATACTTGAAAGGCAGTTATACGGAGAAGGGGCAGGATCCGTTCTCGATCCTCCCAGAGTGCAGGACACGCAGCCATGGGCTCAAGCGACAGGAAGCCAGATTTCGGTTGAACATCAGGAAAAACTTCTTAACTGTTAGAGCAGTACGAGGACGGGACCCGTGACCTCAGGAGGAGGATGGGGGTGAGGGCTCCAAGAGGAAACGGGACAGCCACCTGTCAGATCTGCTTGGATTTGGGTTCCTGCCTTGAGCAGGGGGTGGCTGGGTGGGTTTGAACTTGGGGGGGTGTCTTATGGGCCCCCTTCCAACCCCTTATGCTTCTATGTCAGTAAAGGTCAGGGGGCTTGACACTTCCAAGATTCCTAGTATGGACCACGGCCAGCCAGATGCAAAGCCCTAATCCTCCTCCTCTTCCTCCTTCCAGGCAGGGCTGAAAAATAACATTCCTGAACCCTTAACTTTTACGCGTGACTTTTGCCCCAGCCCTGCTGAGAAGCCAGGCGCGCCCTACCCTCGGAGCAGCCGGAGCAGCCATCATCCTGATGGTAAGGATGATGATGATGAGCAGCAGCAGCAGCAGCAGCAAGATCCTACCCCGTTTCCTCAAGAGGAGGCGTCCCCCAGCGACTGCAAGGCGGCTTCTCCCCTGGGGGGGGTGATGCCAACGGGAGGAGGAGGAGGGGAGGAAGGGCTTTTTGCAAAAAAAAGAAAAGAAAGCAAAGCCGGTTGCATGCTATTTTTTAAATTTTTGATTTTTTTTTTTGCAGCCCCCGGAAACTTGGGAGTGCCGAACGCCTTTTCGGACAAAGTACGAACCGGCACAAATTGCCCGTTTCGGCGGTTCTGCCCCTCTATCTAACCTTTATACTCCTCCTCGCCAGCTGGTTTCTTTGCATATTAACTTCCCTCGGATTGTAACTCATTAAGGAGTGAGATCCATTCTGACAGATGGGACAGTCAGAACTGCTGCGGGCGATCATTTCGGAGTTAAAGGTCATC